CCCGGTCTGAGTCTGTTTGCAGTGTACACTCTCCAGAGCAGGACGTGGTCTGTGTCTGAGCTCAGCTGGGGGATCTTAGCTGGGTAGCTCACTGGGGCAGAACCCCAGACACAAGGGGTCCTGGGCTGTGATTGGGGTCATGTAGTGTGGGGGAGTCTGGACAGGAATATGGGGAGAGGAAAGGTGCCTCAGTTTCCCCTCCCGGTCTGAGTCTGTTTGCAGTGTACACTCTCCAGAGCAGGACGTGGTCTGTGTCTGAGCTCAGCTGGGGGATCTTAGCTGGGTAGCTCACTGGGGCAGAACCCCAGACACAAGGGGTCCTGGGCTGTGATTGGGGTCATGTAGTGTGGGGGAGTTGCCGGGCCCAGCCAGATGTGACTCTAAGCCGGCAAGTCGAACAGAAGGTTTATTGGTTCACGACGTAGCACAGACTTATTGTTATAGGAAACAGGAGCAGGCAGCCTTCCCCTCCGTGTCCAGATAGTGTTGCAGGGAAACTGAGGCACACACCGAGTTACTACAGAACAGCACAGGACAGTAGAATCCCATACAACACAACAAAGCCAACAGAGTGAATCCCAAAGCAGAGAGAATCCAGGGACTACAAGAGTGAATACAATCCCCACTTTTACTTCACACCTGGTGCTACCGTAATTCACCTAATAAATAAGAACCTATCCTGGAGACCTGGGGTTTTAGTCCAGTGTCACTTGCTGGGTGCATTGAGATCATCAGCTTGCTGAGCTGGCAGAAAGGAAGTTATTAGCAGAGCTGGGTTGGAATTTTTTGACGAAGACGCCCATCTCTGCACACCAGACCCTTCCCTGGAAATGTCCTGGTTTTGGTGAAATATCGTTCGAGACAGCGTGTCAGATCCGGGCTGGCATTTCAGGAGCTGTGCCCATCCCACACTTGCCAGTAGCCTGGCAGAAGTGAGCCTGAGTTTCAGGCCCCTCTCTGAATCACAAACTGCCCTCTTCATACCCTGGCCTATTGATTAGTCGGGGGCGTGGTTCTGTCCTCCCCGCTGAGTCTGAATTGTGCCAAGTCCCCGCTTTGCCGAACAAAACCAAACGTCAGACCCTTTGCACTTGGCCCGAGACAGATTGCGTGTCGGGATTGTCCCTTTGCTTGCTGGGTGCGTGACAGTCACTGGGGACAAAATCGGCAGGTGTCCCAAAGCACCGGGTCAGCTTAGGAACGCCCGGCATCGCTGGGATGCAAACCAGCGCGGGGCCCCGTTACGCTAGGTGCTGCACAGACCCGCCGTCCCGTGCGAACGCCGCAGGGAAGCGAGGCGAGAGGGAGAGAGGGGGTCTGGTTGTTGAATTTTGTACTTAAACACGGGGCCTGTGTTTAACGCCAAGTTCCTTTGGTGTTTTCGGTTCCGCGTGGGCTGGTCTAGATGGAAGCCCAGTTGGGGCTGCAATGTGAAAGTGAGATGTGGGGGAGAGGTGGAAGGGAAGGAAAATTCCCTATTACCAGGGTTATGTGGTGATCGGCATTAAGAGGGGGATGCTGGACACTAACCTGCCCCCCCTCACTTTAGGGTGCTTGGCACTGCTGCTCCTACTTCTCCCCGTTGTATTGCTACCTAGGGGTGGCTGGCAGGGCCGGGGAATTTTTAGCTTTATTTATGCCCCTTCCTGCCACCCTCCCCACCACGAGCCTTCTCCCCCCTGTTTTGCCAGTATATCTGGCCCACCAACCCGCTCAGCTGTCCTTGCGGGATTCCCCACCGGGCCAGAGTGGGGGAGGGCATGGTGCTCCGATGGACTGGCATCCCTCTCTGCCCCTCCCTCCTCATGCTGCTGTCTGACCTCGGGCAAGTCACCGCCCTGCTTCGTGCCTCAGTTTCCCTTCTACCTTCCGTCTATGTAGAATATAAACTCTCTGAGGAAGAGCCTGTCTCTCGCTGGGTGCTCATGCGGTTCCTGGGGCAATGGAGCGGGGGGTGGTGTGACCTTCGATGGGGGTAGGTCTGTGTAGCACCTGGTGTGGTGGGGGGAGGTCCGAGCCCCCCTCTCCACCTGGCCAACTGGCTTTTCTAGCTCCGACAGCAGATGCAGGTAGATCTCAGGGTCCCTCCCCCGTCTCTCCCAGACTGCAGGCAGTTGGCGGCACGGCGCAGCCCCAGCCACGACAGCGACGACGAGGACGTGGACTCAGAAGGTGACGAGCTGCCGGCCTTCTCCAAGCGAACGTATCCTTCCCCCTGTGGGTCTGAGAGAGGAGCTGACCTCGCGGGGAAGGGGTGGGGGGAGGGCGAGGAGCAAGAGCAGGTGACCCTGCAGAGCGGTGACGGGGGAGCAAAGTCCCCAGGCTGCACCATTCACCCCGGCAAACCCAGGGAGCTGCTGGTCCATCCTCCTTCCAGGCCTCTTGCGGCTTGAGCGGATGGCGCGCTCCCCCGGCGGGCAGCAGTAGTAAGTCCTGTACCGGTTCCTCAGCGGCCCCAGCTACTGGGGATGTGCCACGCCCCAGTCGGAGTGGGCAGGAGACTCCACTCTAGTGCAGGGGTGGGCAAGAAAGCAGAGGTGTTTGGCCAGGGTTAACCTCTGTTGGGCGGCTGCTGGTGTATTTACCTGCACCTCCACAGGTATGGGTACTCACCGCTCCCATTGGCCGGGGGGGGGCCTCTGCAGGCCAAGGGGGGTGGGAGTCCCCCAATACAGCGGCGGGGGGGCCTGCCAGGGGCTAACCTGTCAGACTGGGTCTGTATTTGCCAACCCCTGCTGTAGTGCGCTTCAGCGGAACGGAAGGGTCCGTCGACGCCAGCCCGCTAGGTCAGCTCAGAGCAGCATGGTGGGCCGCTGGCCAGCTTGTGGTAAGTGGCGTGGGAGCTGGTGGGTAGTTGGGCACCGGGGTGCCTGGGTTCTAGTCCTGGCCCTGGAAGGGGAGTGAGATGTAGAGGTTAGAGGAAGAGGGCTGAGATGTAGGATTGGATTTCTATCCTGGCCTGGCACAGAACTCAGGCATGTTGCTGCTCTGCCTTTTGTGCCTCGGTTTCCCCACCTACACATTGGAGGCCTCCCTCTGTCCCACCCTCCTGTTGCCAGCTGGCGAAGTGCTTTGAGATCTGTGATGTCCTAGCCTGGATGGTGGGCTCCAGACGAGGTACCTTCCAAGGCCGCCTCTCTCGGCCAGCTCAGCCCAGGCCACGTCCCCGATTTCAGCCCTGGCTTTTGGGCGATGGTGTGTAGATCCCTGGGGGTTCCGGAGCAGGGGTGGGGCTTGTTGGGGGCACCGTGGGGCTGTGAGGGGTCTTGGCGCTTCCTTCACTGCCACCCGACCAGGTGCCTGTCTCCAGCCTCGAAGAGCGCCCCAGCGGAGGACAGCAGGAAGCCAGGGGGCCTG